CTACATCCAAGAATATTCATAAGATGTTTATTTTTAACTTAAGTTATTAAATTTATCTTAAATTGTGTATTAAAAATATCGAACAATGAGAATATGGTGATAAGATTTAATTTATATTGCTTTTTTTAGTTTATATTATATTTTTAGAAAAAAAATTCTTTTATATATATTATAAAATCTCTTTAAAACGTCAATCATACGAATCTTTAAAATATCTTAAAAGATAGTATTTTTTTATTATTTACACACACACACACACACACACACACTTTTCTCAGAAAAAAATTCAAAAATTTTTTCTTGGATTAAACTAACAACGAGATAATCACGGAATATCAATATTATATTATATCCAATTTTAAAATTTTTGAATATTACTATGGTATGTTGCAATTTATTGTCTTAAAAGTATAAAGCTATTAAATACACAAAAAGCTGGTAACAATCCAAGGTAAAGCCTTAATTAAACATTCTATTTTTATTATCAATATCTGCTGACATAATTAATTAAGCTGCGTATGTATGATACATGTACATAATTCCAGGGTTAACAAAATACAAATTATATCATTATTAGTAAGTCATTGTATGCTCAATCTGTTATCATGGTAATAAATATTATACTATTTAACATTCGGTATTGTGATATGTCCTAATTTCTACCAAAGCGTTATATTGTAGCTTTTTATTGTCTGTTTAGAATGAATAAAAAAATTATTATTGATTATATAAACAAAAAAACTTAATTATTTTTTTGTATATTAAAAGAGCGTTGAAAGTAAATAGTAACTCGCATATATAGTTATATCTGTTAAAAAATGTGAAGTTTAATTAAAAATTGACAACTCTAATTTAATAACAGCACTTATTTATTTATTTATTTATAAATATACAAAAATTTCTTTTCTTTTGAAGAAAAGCGTTTACACATTGTTACATATAGTTTCGAAATCGCAGCAGCATATACTTTCAGCGCGCGTTGACACAATACATTGAATAGATCTACGTCGTAGATGTCTTGTGAGTTGCATTTACACGTCTTCTTAGGTATTATTGATAAAGTCGAGATGGAAATAGACATCGGTATCTACATCAGGCTCACCCTGAGCGCGAGGAAGACAATACTGTGCGCCGTTGCATATAATCTGACCACCGCTATCACCCTGGAAATGGGGACAACATTTTCGTTAACTTCTTATTTAATTATCGAATCTTTACAATTGATAAATCAGTCTTTTCTATTAAAGTAGAGAAACTATTTCTATGTATTAATGAACATTACTCACCGCGCAAGTGCCAATTCTAGCGATTGAGTGTGCATAAATGGCTGTCGGTCAAACGCACATTATAATGACGTTCCTGACATGCGCTCTTTGCGACTTGGTTCATTTTTTTGAAGAATGTGCGAGAGAGATCCATCCTTACTGATTCCATCCCATCCGGATAAAGTACATTTCTGTCCGAAAAAAGGCTTAAATTTAGCCAGAGAGATTGGTTTTTAGAACTGATTATATTGAATCGACAATTCGAGCTGAAACGAATAAAATGATTTAAAGTTTAAATTTTTAATATAAAGGAACAAAGTGAAGAAACCAAAAGAAAGTATTAGAAAAAATTAGGAAAAAATTATAAAATGAAACTCTTAAAATTGCAGAAAAAAATCTTAGTAGCGAAATATCTTGCACCGATTTACCGTGATTGCAGCAGTGTCCATTTTTCCAAGCATTTTCCTCGTTATCGGAGAATTCCGGATACGGCACGACAATATTCTTTACAAAGTGAAGCTGTCCATCAGTGCTATAAATGGTGTCAATCGTAATTTTAAGGTTGCTAAAGTAGACCTTCAAGTCCAAGCCATCCACGCAGTGAGCAGCAATGAGAATCTTACATCCGTATTCATAGTCAGGCCTTATATAATATTTAAGGCTTCCTTAAATTTATCTTCAGATACTCTACGTATTATTTCATTGGCTACCGAGCATCTAAAGATAAATTTAAGGAAGCCTTAAGTACAAGGTCTGACTATGAATACGGGCATTAGTCGGGGCGATGATGGAACCGCCGCAATTTGCGGCCCGCAAATGCCATACAATCTCAAGGAAACTTGGTACGAAAATTCGCCCAGTGCGACGAACTGGCCACCGGCAATCGCTTCGGGTTCCTCAGCGAACGTTTTTGTGATAAATACGTATATATAAACACAATATTTCTTTATAGACCGCAGCAGAATACTCAATGATGCATGAGAAGGATAGAGGTAGTTTTTGCAATGGTTTCATATCGTTTACTGTATTATTATTAATTCCTGCTGATTGATAGCTCAAATTGGAATCGAAATGACTAATCTATTTTTTTTTTTACGACTGTACTCGATATGTTGTTTAATAATTAACAATAATCTATTACATTTGCGCCGACTCCTATCATTCTTTATTAATTATTAATTTGTTGCAATTGTAATGAGAACATGTTTTTTACAGTATGCGCATTATCCTATAATATGATTAATGACCAATAAGAAAAATATTGATTAGAGATAAAAATAACAATGAGATAAATAAGAAAATATTTTGTCATTATACGATATATAATTTTACGTACGTGTGTAAGAACTACTACAAGAATTAGTGATAGCATGATCCATAATTAACCCAGGCTAGATTAAAAATCAAACTCAGGCGATAATTTCCTTCCTCTTATATAAAACACTTGTATCTGTAATTTAACTTTGAACAGCTGCGAATAGCTGATTGTATTTCTTACGCTAAATACGATGACATTCGGATCCTGCATTTTGATGAGACAGATACGGTAAAATCAATAAATGCGGACTTAATTACGTTGCGATTGCAATCGTTTACGATTACTAATCGAATTACTACGGCTTGAAAAGAGAAAGCTAAAATGCGTATAATAATGATTAAACACGAAATGTGTCTTTTCATTATTACTATTATTATTTTTATTATTATTATTGCGGTTCATTCGAGCAAAATATAAGATATCGGAAAGCAAGTAGAAAAGCTTGACGTATATTCATCTTAATAAATTAGTATTATAATAGTCAATCAATCGCTTCTTACCGCTAAGGGCTAAATCGTTTGCCGGCAGATACAGCGTGTCCTCAATTAGTTATTAGCAACAATAGTAAACCGTATGAATATTGCACTATTGCAAAGTGCGTGATATTACGCGGCCGACATCACCTCATGCTCGGAACACTTGGTGAGACTTGACACTTGCAATGATAGTCAAACTAGAATTCCATCGAATGGATTTTGTGAAAAATCCATTAGTCAGATAACTTCAACTGCGTGTTTGCTTCGGCACTCCCGAAGCAAACGCGCGACGCAATAAATCGACTCCGGTCGTTCGTGTTTAATTAAATCGGCGACATACGTTAGCTTAGCTTATCCTTTTTTCACCTTGTTCGTCTGACTCTGCAGCAAGCTGCTTTTCAAATAATTCAAAATGGTTATGTAAGAAATGGATTTTCAGTAACGCCGATATTCTCAAAAGCGGTCATCATATCATCTACTAATATACGGTAGTTTTCAACTCGATGTTTCCCAAAAAAATTTCAAATCACGGCCTTCACACAATCCCATGCAATAAGTTCATTTGGATTCAGACATTGATCGAAAACGTTATCGTTCATTAGTTTACGAATATCTGGACCGTTAAATATTCCTAAAAGCAATCAAAGCACATAAAAATATTAGACTTAGATTAAGCTGAATTGCATAAAAATAGTATACCTTCTTTTATTTTAGTAGCGCTTAATGCCCGGAAATTTCTCGCATAAATATTGAAACGCCGACGCGTTGCGATTGATTGCTTTCACAAAATGTACCGCACATAACAAAACGAATTGATTTTTCCTTTATTCAACACAATTCAACATTTATATTTATATAACACGTTACAAAGCGATAATGGCGCATGCGAAAGTTTTGATGCGTGATATGAAATAAACGTATATATTATACTTAGGATCTGAGCACAAGAATTGTCGTAACACTTACTTAAACTACCGACGAGATATTATTAAAGACTGTCAATTCTGGGAAAATTTTTGGCGGTAAAAAAGGCTCGGAGGTAATTGAAAAATGCTGACATTATCGATAATTGATATAAATTTGCTATTATTAACGTAAATATTTGGCTTATACATTATTAAATTCATGATTTTTTTATTACATAAATGTTCCATAAATAAATATGCATACTTGTAAAGCTATAATATTCTATATATATTGCAGAAAAATTACAATTTTTTTCTCTGCAGTTATCATCTCTGTTGATAATCAAATTTTGACGATAACACTGAAATTACAATTTTAAAGAAAAATCGAGTATTATTGAGTTCTAAATGCATAAATACGTCTATTAAATTAATAAATCATAAAATTAGTGCAATATTATCAGTTTTTACTCTTAATTACTTACAATATTCACAAGAACGCGAACTCCCGTAAGAATGTCGGTCTTTAATAGTATCTCGTCGGTGTCTATGCATATAGATCGAAATGTCAGTAAACATTCCATTTTTGAAAAACGCGGGCATGACCACTTTCTCTCGAAGTTGGTGTTTTTGGTCGATAGTTATTAGAGTATCGATAGTGGGTCGATTGATCAAAGTATGCGTACATGCGCTTACGTCACCGTGCGTAGCTCATAGCTGTCTGCTATTATCATTGTTGATTTTGAGTAGGTGTTTATCAGGTGCTACTTGTCAGTTGTCACAGAAGCTATCAAAATGTTCGGTAAGTGTGGCCATTTATACAGTCAAAAAATGATGTATTTTTGAAGATGCTAGTCGAATCATAATCGGACGGCAACATACAGCATACGTTTATTCTTTTCTTCTTTATCAGGCTGTTGTTGGTGTTGTGCTGCGTTACGTCCGAGATACAAGAGGCTCGTTGATAATATTTTTCCGGTTAACCCTCAGGTGAGATCTTCGAATATATTTTTCCTTTTTTCTCTCGTCTTATATATTTCATTTCTGTCTACTATGTTTATCGTTTTGTTCGCGAGTAAATCAATAAACGCTGTCCTTGATAGGCGGGAGAAATCAAAATGATTATTCTATTTATGGTTGAACCTGTGATATTTGCGCCGAATGAAAAATACGATTGACATGTGTCTCTACGCGACAATTTGTAATAATGGGCTTCTCTATTCTTCAGGATGGCTTGATTAAGAATAATATGGAGAAACTAACATTTTATTCGTTGAGCAGTCCTGAGAAATTAGATAGGATTGGAGAATACCTGTTTCAACGAGCTTCCAGGGATATTTACAGGTAATATAAAATTGTGATATAATTACATCTTTAATAGTATATTATACATAAATAATTACCTTATAACACCGGTTATATATAAATAATTATATAAGAATAAATCCTAATTACTACTGTAAACATGACTGGCAATAATTTCTATACATAGCATGCTAATACATTTTTTGATGCACTACACAAACAATTCTACTTAATAAGACACCATGTCCTGATAGGAGACGAAATGGCTTTGTTGTGATCGCCATGGAGGCAATGGATCAACTCCTGGTAGCTTGTCATGCACAAACTCTGAATCTATTTGTTGAGAGCTTCTTGAAGATGGTACAAAAACTGCTGGAATCTACGGATCCTCAATTACAAATTCTAGCAACACAGTCTGTAAGTGATAATCTTAACGAATTAACATTAATCTTACTCAATTCTGTCCGATTAACATATTGATTCTCAGTTTGTCAGATTTGCCAATATTGAGGAAGACACACCCTCGTATCATACTCGTTACGATTTCTTTGTGTCGAAATATTCGGCAATGTGCCATTCTAATAATGATGATCCCACTACACGCAAGCAAATTAGGCTTGCTGGAATTCAAGGGTTGCAGGTACGACTGAAATATTATATATCAGATTATTGATTATTAAAACTTACGTATTTAAATATACCTTTGTAGGGCGTTGTGAGAAAAACTCTTTCTGATGATTTGGTTGAGAATATCTGGGAACCTGTACATATGGACAAGATTGTACCATCATTACTGTACAACATGCAAAATTCAAGGTTAAATTTAAAAGAAACGAATATTATGAGAAACACATTGACAAATTGTATTTTTAGATATGCTGATAAAGAAGACACAACACCGGACAGCCCAACTGAAGAACGATCGGATCCGCCGCAGTTTGCGGAAACTTGCATGCGAGAATTGATCGGACGCGCATCATTTGGTCATATTAGATGTGTTATAAGACCTGTGTTGAGGTATAAAATAAATTTCGTTATGAATTAATGTATATATAAATATATGAGATATATGAGATATTTTAATAAGAAATCTATATTAAAGGCATCTGGACAATCATCAGTTATGGGTCCCTAACTACTTCGCAATTCATACTTTCAGAATAATTATGTTTTCCATTCAAGTATGTAACGATGTAAATCAAGTAATAATATTTTATACATTAGATAATTAATAATATTACTTTAATGTATGTTTTAGTCACAATATTCCTACACTGTAGTGGAAGCTTTAATGACGCATCTTGATGATCATTCAAAATCGTCCCCTAAGATTCGCACCAGCATTGCGGATACTTTGTCTAAAATTATATCAATTGCTGCAGGTGAAAGTGTTGGTAAGTACACATAAAAAATTGAATGGGTATAGTATAAATTCTGTTATCTAGTTCTCTGGTTAATATAAATTTACATATGTATAAACAATATTTATTGAACGTATAACAGAGATTAAATCATTAAACTCTTAACAATATGTTTTTTTTTTTAGGACCATCTGTGTTAGAAATTATAAATTCCTTATTATCTCACCTACGAGTTAGTGTAACAAGGAACCAATCGTCAAGTAATGATGAGCAATTGTATCAAGAAGCTCTTATTAACGCTCTTGGAGAGTTCGCAAATCATCTTCCAGATTACCAGAAAATTGAGATTATGATGTTCATTATGAGTAAAGTTCCATACAGTCAGCCTGATCGTATCGTATCAGTCGGCAAAGGAGATGTATTACTTCAAAGCATACTTTTAAAGTCGCTATTAAAGGTAAATCGTTTTTATTATTATATAAAAATATAAATATATGTAAGGTATAGATTTTTTAATTACAAATTTTTTTTTATATACTTTTTATATACTTTTTTATATAATAGGTTGGCACTAAGTACCAAACTATTCATTTGAACACAACGTTCCCACCCAGTTTCTTGGATCCATTACTAAGAATGTCATTGGCAGCAGATGCTGAAATGAGACTTCTTGTACAGAAAATATTCCATACCTTAATCGACAGACGACGGAATATTACAAAACTCGCTAAACCAACGTAAATTTATCTCTTAATCAAATGTTCTATTAATATACATTGTTCGTTCTTTTTTGAATTTTTAAAGATAACTTTTTTGCTTTAGTGTGAACGTAGCAGAGCTCGATCTTGCTATTGAAAAAGCCTCTAGACCTGATGTAATCTTTATTCGGAAGCACGGCCCTGAAATCTACTTGGCGCTGTATGAATCATTAGAGCTGTCTAGTAATACAGTTGAAAATGTGGAATCTATTTATACCACACTGGCGTTACTTGCCATTGAATTAGCTTCTGAGGAAACAGTATTAGAGTTACTGAGATTGGTGTTGAGCCTGCAAGACTTGGCACTGACAAGCGGTCAAATTAGTCTTTCGCTTAAATTCAACTTACACGCAATAGTTATCAGTTTACTAATCTTAATATCATATGTCTGTAATATTACCGCTCTTATGGATTATGCGAAAAAGGTAGGTAATTTCATATTGACACACACACACACACACACACGCACACGCGCGCGCGCGCGCGCGGCATTCATTTATTTTATAGTAAAGTTGCAATTGATTGAATAAATTCGTTTGAAGGTGGTAGATGCGCGTCGAAACGATAGCCCTCATTTATTACCAGATTTACAATCTCAATATGATACTGGTCTAACATCCAGATTAGCGCCAGCTCTTTTAGTCGACCAAACTGTTGTCAGTGAATGTCTAAAAGGAGCTGGTCTTGATAGTGGAAAATTACAACAAGGTTCAGGCTACAGCGGCAATTCTTTACAACACAGGTAATTACCTATAGCGTATAGTGGTCCAATAATTGGCTATAAATCTTTAGAGAATGCCACTTTGTTTTATATAAGCTTTATAACGTAAAATTAAATTTTGCTTAAATAGGCATTCATGGGTTGATGCTGGACGGAATTCACTAGCTGACATTAATTCTGGAGGCCCAGAGTTGGATAGTGCAGGTTCATCACCGGGTGTGCAAAAGGTATAATTTACATTTATTTTAATTTATATTAAATTAGAAATTATCAATGATCATATTTGATTTAATAAATTAATAAATTAATCATTATTAAAAAACATATTTTAAGCATATTATTATTGCACAATTTTAACTATTACTTTCTGTTCATAATTAATTTTTTGCAGAAATTACCTGGAGAAGAATTAACGTTCGAAAGCATGAAAAGAATTTTGACAGAGAGCAACAATAATCAAGTAATAGAAGAAGAGAAGCGAATGCAACTTTCTCAGTTCTTTAGAAATGCACCATTCCAAGATTTAGTATCAAAAACACAACCAAAGGTTTCATTCATTAACATATATTATAAACTTATTAATTTATACAGATTTCTAATATTTTCTTTTCTGTTCACAGCACGATGTTTTACAAAGTAAGTTGTCAGAAATATTTAATACGCTGTCCGTTGATCCGCGCAACACGGTTCCTACAACCGGACCACAGACAGATACTAAACCAAGTCAAACTCCAGCTTACGAAATTCATTTCCCAGAGTTGTTTGTATATTAAACTGTTAATGTTCCTGTTGCATTAACATTAGGTGCCAGTTGGTGCTATAAATGCTTCAAAACATTTGATTGACCAATTGGAAGAAAGAATTTTACTAATTGACCAATCAATGAATGCTTCAAAGCATTTCTATAAAGCATCAAATAGACTGTAGCTATTAACATAGTGTTGCATTATATTAAATCGTCTACATGTTACTGAGCATGAACAATAGCTCTTGTACTTTAAAGATTGACTTATGTACATAACAGAGAAAATATTTTTATGTTTTATATTGTTAGATATATATTTTTTATTGAGTTGCTCGTACTAATTTTATTTATTTTTAATGAGTAAGTCTCAAATATCATATAAGTTGCAATAGAAATGGTTAATTAGTGTTTTTATAAAATTATCAAATGGTTATGGAATGGTTTTATGGAAGTAGAGAGACGGGAATTTCTTATACACATATAATGATTCTATAGATTCGTAATCGATTTCGTAAACTGAATCAACTGTTTTCATTAATATAGGTTAACTCAAAATCATAGTCGCGTGATGCTACAAATGCTTTGAAATATTCTTTAATTAATTAGTAAATTTTTTTTTCTAATTAGTCAATCAAATGCCTCAAAGTATTTGTAGTGACCGCACGCTCTGACTAATATGTCGATACTTCAATGAAGAAACTTTGAGCACAAAACAAAAAAAAAGTTCACATAAGCATCGACATAATGAATCATCCTATATACTATATTCTAACAGTAGATCAATTACGTAAATGTGCACTGTTACTTAATCATGTTAATGTAAAGTTAAAAATTGTATATGTATATCTCTTTATGTATATTCTATGTTCGAAAAACACAATTTTCTCTCTCGGCAGAGTCAGTGATTGAAAAAAGTTGCACAATGTATATTTATAAATATAGACAATAGTTCGAAATATTTTGTAAATATACGTATATTAAAACACATATTAACCTGGAAAAAGATTTATTATGGTGCAATGCTTATCCCTCTTACATTTTTCTCCAATTACTTGTTCATATAATTATGAAGAAAAAAATGTTTAGATGTATACGCTTGAGGAAGCGGAGAATAATTTTTTGTTGTACTTTATCTTATGAAAACCTGTAACGTTACATTACCAATTGTTCTTTCCTTTATTGAATCTTTGTACAAAATACTCGAAGGATCACCAAATACATAGTAAATGGAATGAACACAGGTTTTATTTTGCAAATATCTGAAAGGTCCCTTTATTCAACCGCTCATCATAGGAACACGGTTAGTCGATTTTAAATCAAGTACACAAGTTAAGTAGCATCTCTTGGAGAGCAAGTAATCAAACTACATATTAACATATGACTCTACAGTACATGCGACAATGTTTGAATATTATTAATTTGCAATTTATACATTGTATAAATTGTACGTCGTTTCCGAAGTTGGAGAAACAACGTTTTCAATATCTTATATGTAACTTCATAAAAATCGTAAATATATTGTAATGTACGAGCGATTGAATTAAGGCATTAGAGTAGGATGTGCCATTCGTGCGACGACTACTTAAACATAATTTGATGCGTTTCTTTTTTTTTCTTGTATTGAAATGCGTTTGGTCAAATTTGGTACACTCTAAGAGGTATTTCAAGGTTCTACCTTCAGCAGCTCCACATCGAAGATAAGAACGGCATTCGGTGGGATAGTGTGTCTCTGTCAAGGCTAATATAGTTTACTGTTTGTTCTTTTTTTATATATATATTAGATTATAAATAGAATTATACTAAATAATTACACTAGAACCTCGTGGTAGCGAATTCAAAATAGAGCACAAAATCTCTTCCAGCCACGCTAGACTCATGTGAGAAGAGGTAAAATCATGACACTTAATAAAGTCCTAAATTTCATGATTTGAAAATGAAGTAAGAATGAATCTCGTTATCCATTCAGTATCCCAACCATGTGTTATTACGAAAGTTCCAGTGTATTCTATTTTATACGTTTAATCTGTATTTTATATTATAACATCTTGCATTAAAGGATATATTCCAGGGTGGCCTCGGCTACCATAAGCAAAGTCTGGAGAACAGGTCAGCTTAGCCCGCTGCCCGACGCACATTTGTGAGACTCCTTGATCCCAGCCTTTTATTACTTCGCCTTTTCCAATTTTAAATTTAAACGGTATACCGCGGTCCCTGCTAGAATCAAATTTCTTCCCATTGTCGAGGGTACCTATAAATATGTTAATGAAATCATTTTATTTTTATATAATCTTAAGATTTTTATGTATAAATTGTTTAGAGAGATAAATACATAATATTTTCAGAGATCAAAACTGGAAAGTACTTAATATAATAATATTAAATAATATAATCAGAGATGAGAAGTAATACGTTACTTTTCAACTCTGGTCATAGTTGTGTCATTACACAGCATTCTACCACATGGCAGCAGCTTTGAAAAAATTTTGTTAACTATTCTTCTGTTTCTTCAAGCATGATATATAAATGTAAATCAGAGTATCAATTCTCTGCAATAAAATATTTACCTGTATAATGCACGACCACTGTTTGACCAGTCTTTGGATAGGTTTGACCTACACATACGAAAATATTCATGAAACAATATTAGATAACAAAACTTAGGCAAAAATACATTGCTGTTTAAAATTAGTAACAACATAAATAAGGCAAAGACGCGACGTCGCTCAGAGTCCATTTTATTTCGAATAAAGAACATCGCGGCATCGGCCACACTAGTTCGCGGTATTTCAGGCCACGAGATAAGGCACATTGGAGCATCAAATATAGTGTGGTGCGCGCGCGAGCATGAGAGAGATGGAACAAGCTGCGAAATAGGAAAGAGGTTCTTCCGAAGAGAAGCGGGAACGGCAAATTCGGTGAGTCCTTAGAAAAATAAAACTGCATAATTACCGTCTCCAGGACACAAGACTTCGACATCCACGCCCATGGCTATGTGTCCTTTCTCTTTGTATTACAGCAAGAGACTCTCCTCTTGAAACAGCGAGATGCGCAAAGACCGTTGAGGCTTACCAGGCTCGTCAGAAAAGCCGTCGAACAAAACTCGTGAGAAAAACTATTCGCGAAGCCTTAGAAAACGATGCTGCTCCACTACGTCGTTCAATGAATACGAACCGGGCATATGAGATATCTAGAAATATCATCCATTGAAGTATCTATGACTGTGTTCCAAAACTCACTATCAGTGCTGAAAATGTATAATACACGTGACGTAAACTATAGATTTTTTAGTGCGGCAGTGAATTTTGGAACACAGACTATATATACATCGATAATATCATCCAATGAAATGGTTCCCGTTGCCGAAAGAGGCCGGAAAATGGCGATTTAGACAAAAAAAAAAAGATTCTTGTCCAGAAAAATAACCGAACATATATTCTGGCTCGTATTCAAAACGCGCTTTTATCGGTAAAAACATGTTCTGGGTATCAATCATGAAACTTTTTTCCTAGGATGAAAAGTAAAAAGTTTTCACTTTTCTTTTTCACTTTGAAATTTCTCCATTAACTTCAATGGTCAAAATTTTCACTTTTCACTTTCCTAGGAAAAAGTTTCATGATTGATACCCTGAATACGGGCCTTTATCTCTAAAATTGTATAATATGCATAACGTAAATTATATTTAGCATGTTGGCGCGCTAATCGTTTTAAGTGCATTCTGAATACAGGTCTCTACATTTAACACTGACGAGATGCTATTAAGGACTCTCGGCTTCTTATGGAAATTCGCGTGCCTGTTAAAATTTAAGTGATTAAAAGAAATCAATAATAAAATGCAAAATATATCAGTATTGTAACCAAAAAAACTTTATTTAATGTTTCTTAAATACAAACAAACACAGCCAGGATGCGCGAAAAATGAGTATGCGATACATTTTATACCCAGAACTCGTCTTCAGGTAGTTGAAATCAAACATCGCAGAAATAGGCACTCGACGTTTATTCCGATTGATCTTTTTATTATTGTATTGTACAATAACATTTATACTTTAGCATTTATACTTTAGATTTTCACTATGACATGGGAGCATGGATTATTTCATATTAGAAATATCCTGGATATCTCATATTACGATTTCTACGCCTTACAGTTTTACGATCACCAAATCTAACTTATATAATTAAGCAATTCAATATTTCCCATATTTTTCTATTAATACAACCTTTACTCTATCACTACATAAAGAATTTCTTGCTAAATATTTATTTATTAAATAATAAACAATGTTTGAAGGCTCATCTCAATGAAATTTGAAGACATCCAAATTCTAAAATCTTGTTTTACATTGACTATACATGATCTAATAATAAATTTTCTACTAAACAGTTTTCAATACAAGAGCAATAAATTCATGGTGGAACCAATAGATAGTGTTTATTAGTTTAGCAGAAACGCCACTATCTCATATTACGCGTCTCTCTCATAATAGGGGGCTTTCTCCTCATTTAGATTTATTTACGAAATTGTTCTAGATATGGCAACTTGCTGGAAAATTGATAACAAAGACAAATATAATATATTGTGTCAATATTGTGTTACTTGTTTGTATAATTGATCTGTTCCTGTTATTAATTATATATATATATATGGGGGTAGATCAAAATATTTTAATTATATGTATAAGTATATATTATTTTAAATAGGCAAAATAGTCAATTGTCTCCAAAATTATTAATACAAAAAATGTTTCAAATAAAAATGAAAAGATTTTAAAGAGAACATACTACAAAAACACATTGTTGCTTTTCAAAAAAATGTGCAAATTGCATTTCTTTTTAAAGCAACTGCATATGTGATTTCTTTATATCAATTTATTCATCTTATTATTCTGTATATAAAAGTACAGAACAGAAAAAGTTCTAATAACAGAATTAATATAACAGCAGGGCAATAAGAGTCAAATAAGTATCAAATTAAAATTGAAAAGTTATATATATAAAAGAAAAAACTAATTATTTTATACTTTATAAATATTCAAATTAAAATCTTCCTATTACAAAAATTCAAATTATAATAATTCGCATAATATGTTTTATTATGAGAATGAACCATTATAATAAATATAAGATATCTTATAAACTATTAATTTTTTAATAGGATAAAAAACATTAGTTGTGGATTACTCTTTAAAAAAAAAATTCATATTTTTATCTGGAACAATATCAAGTATCCTTATTTATTCTGTAGGTTAAACAAAGACATCTAGGGCATTATTCT